TACCAAGGGATGCTCCATCTCTTGAAGTCTTTGAATCAAGTCTGGATGCCTTTCTGGACAAGACTTCAACCATGTAATTGCCTCAGTACAGAAGTAAATAGATGAAATCCTATTGCTTGTGTTAAACAGAAGGTCAGACTAGACGGGGTGGCCCTTCCTGGTGAATCAGTGAAAGCCAGAGTGGTCAAAGATGGCATAATTAAAGGGAAACTTGGGTGTAACCAGCAAAGAGTTTCTCCCTTTCTTTAGCCATCTCTCTGCTCTGTCAATGTTTCATGAAAAATGGGCAGGAGCTCAGGATGCTTCTCCCTCCATACCCTTGGGTCAGCGGAGCTAAGACAGACTGCTGTTTGATAGCTAGTGGCACGTACTGGGGACACGTGTGTTATAAGCTGCTTAGGCCAGGCTGTTGCTGACGTGCTGGGGGATGAGTGACCAGTGAGGTAGGGAAGAGAAGTCTCTGGCTGCTCAAATGTGGGTATGTCTTTACTGCACACTGTAGCACAGTGTAGCAATAGCTGAACTAACTAGCTTTGGCAAGGTAAATAAGCCTGGGTGCAGCTCAGCAAGATTGCAGCAAAATTGCTTCCACATTGGTTTAGAGTTTGGCTATCTCTGCACAGCAACACATTATGTAGGGCAGACACTTGGACAACTCCAAAGATCTCATTTTCTTGGGGTGGAAATCAGATGTCACCTGAAGCTGAATGAGTCGGGTGTTTTTTGTTACCTGGAACCATGTCACACTAGAGGGTAAAAAAACCCCAACCAACTTAAGCACTTGACCTTACATTTTCAGCTCTTACACAGCCCTGGAGAGCCAATGTCATTATCCCCATTGTACATATGGAGAAACAGAGGCAAAGAGATGCAGGGTCACACAGTGAATCACTGGCACAGTCAGGAATACAATTCAGCCGGTCTTGGCTTCTGGAGCCAGTCTGACTTGTTAATATGCAGATCCTAGAAGTAATAGACTGTTAATTACCTGGGACCTTTGGGTTTTAGAACGGGATGTATCCCATTTGTTAGATATGACTTATTCTTAGCTTTATTTATACTGATCATTGCTGGCAGCTGTGAAGCGCCAGGGGCTTTCCAAACATATGTCAACATTGTTTTCTCCAAACTCATGGGTATTATGAATATTCACATGTCATAATTTGACTCCCTCGAACATGGAAGTGACTCTGTAGATTCCAGTAAACTATTCTGTCATAAGAGGACATATAAGCAAATACCTGGGACTCAGAGAAGAAGCATTATCCACACTGGTACCTGCCAAATAATACTGTTTCTCTCAAGAGGCAGTGGATTTCAGGCACTTGCAGGCGTTCAGGCTGGTCGGGTGTTTCAGTAACCATCCTCCTCTCATCGGAGCCCATGGCTGGTAGCTGGTTAAGTTGTTGTGGAAAATGCTTTGAATGTGAAGACACATGTGAGATGTCAAATTCTACTGCACCAAACACCTGAGAGGCTGTTGCTAATTGCCTTGTCTCCCTGTCTCTCTCTTTCCACTAGGCCTGATAGTCTACCTGGGAATGATGGTGGGGGCTGTCATGTGGGGTGGCCTGGCAGACAAACTGGGAAGAAGGAAATGCCTCATCATATCACTTGCAATCAACGCTGCCTTTGTTTTTCTCTCCTCCTTCACCCAGGGATATGGATTCTTCCTTTTCTGCCGCCTTATCTCTGGCTTCGGGTGGGTACCTCTCTCTTTAGCCCATCAGCTAATTGTTCTGGTGGAGGGACTTGTAGCAGTTCACACAGAGGCCGAGGCAATGGACGGCCTAACCGCTGGTTCTACACGGACAGGCAGAAGCTGCCAGACAGGGGAATGATACGTTTTCTTGTTTTGCGTTGCATAAAACAAATTTAGTGCTTGGAATATTGATAGCCCTGAAGGCAGAGATTTTAGCCACTGCACAAAACAGCATGGGGGTGGCAACATTTACTCAGCATGTCAGGCCCGTGTACCTGTTGGAAAGACTCTGAAGTCTCGGTCTTCATGCTGAAATTGTGAATAAGGGCAGTGACGGATGTCACTTGCAATATAGACAGTTGTCTCCTGGGACCTGAGCTCTCCCTGTTGTTCCAGAGGGGCGCAGGACACCAATAACATGGCAGCCGCTGTGGCTCCATAAACATTTCCCCTCGGACTAAGTAGCGCAGGGGATGGATAAGGGGAATTACAGACCTGGTCCTTCCTAGAGATGAGCAGATCAAATCTGCTGAAGCCAATAGCCACTGTAAGCTGTTTCTACTGGCTGGCTCTTGGTTGCCACTGTAAAATGAGGTTGTGCTCCTATGCTCAATTCTGCAGTTTCAGACAGGACAAGTGGCTACAGCCCAAAGGCTCAGCAGGTCCTCTCTGGATAAAGCAGCACAGCATTACATTCACAATGTACATTAAAACGTATTTTCCGCTCATAACAAGCTTCATGTCCCTCCTTGATATCCAAGAACAGGATGACAGAGGAAGCTAGGTAGCATCATAGTCTTGCCAATGGTTCTCCATGCAGGAGAATGACCGTGGGTTCTGCTGAGTTGCCGAAGGAAAAAGTAGGCTCCTCCTTTACCCTAAGACACTTTGGCTGGTGAGAGATCTTGTTCCCTGAAGACCTGTATTCTTCCTGTGTGATTTTTTTTTCTTCTTCTCAGTATTGGGGGATCCCTCCCTATCGTGTTTGCCTATTTCTCTGAATTCCTTTCTCGCGAGAAGAGGGGAGAACACCTGAGCTGGCTCTGCATGTTCTGGATGGTTGGTGGCATTTATGCCTCGGCAATGGCTTGGAGCATCATTCCACACTACGGTAAATGCTTTGAGGTTTCTGTTCTGGAGAACACCATATCAATACCCCTAGGTCTGCATACACAGAATATGTTCACACTCACCCAGCCACATGTTAGCAACACAGGAAATAGAGAAGAAGTGTTATATCTGGTGAAGTGTCCATCCTAAACACATTGGTCACGTCTACATGTGCGCATTTACTGCACAGTAACTGAAATTACTCCACAGTACAGGCACACGTCTACATGTGCGCACCTGTACTGCACAGTAAATATGGTGACTGATGCTGACTTGAGCATAAATTTGATACCTGCACCATGCAGGTATCAAATTTATGTCCAGTTAGTTACTGCATTAGTAACTGCATTATGCCCAATTAGTTACTGCACAGTAATGCACATGTAGTCACCTGGAAAGTGGGAAAGGCTCTGTTGGAGCAAAGACCACAAATACATCACATTTCTAGTACTGCAGATTGCAGCTACTGTCTTCTCTCCATCAATTGCCAAGCACCAGACCCAAATCTGTGTACCTCCAAACTTGGGGAGGGTTTGACTGAAACTCCATGACTTCTGTTCATGCTCAGCCAAACAATTGCCAATAAGTAACAACTCTTACATACCCCAGTAGGAATAGCGTATCCTATATTTGAGCAGGGGTGTAAGGTAAGTAGAGCCCACGCTGCTTTTTCCCAACTTTCTCTCAGCCTGCCTATGCTTCTGTTACTTTTCTGCCATGACTTTGATGTTGCTGTATGTTGGGAAGTGGAAGGAAGCCATAGGACTGGCAGCAGCTCCACAGACTGTCTGGCTGGCTCTACCAGACCCATCACCGTACTTGGGTCCTTTTGCCCCTGCACACCCACACAGGGCACTCCCTTTCCTGGGATTGTCCCTGTGGTTTTCTGAGAGCTTGTCAGGGCTCCAGTTGTTAAAGCCTAGGCTCCTTTTTCTCTCTGTCCATGCCCACCTTATAAAGACCTCAGCTTCTGGACTTTAGGCCTGGCCTCAGTGGTCATCTCACAACTTTTTAGGATTCCATCTCCATGTGCTAGGGTTCCCCATGTGGCTTGGGGGTGTATTTTAGCCCCTATGACAAAACAAAAGGTGGGTGTGGGACCCCACCCAAACCCCCTATCCACAGCTTTCTCCACCCCTTGTAGGACCAACCAGTTCTCCAGTTCACAAGTCCAAATCAAAGTAATAATCCAAATGATACAAGCTGTTCCATAAAAGAAATAAGAAGTCTCTCTGCTTTATCAAAGCAGCCCACAGGCCCTACTTGCCTAAGAGCCTTCCTTTCCCAAATCCTGATCCTACTTCTGTTCACCTGGCCAGGCCTGCTGCACCCTGCAGCCAGGTGTGGCCATTTGCTCTTTAATCCACCGCCTTTATCAGCGACAGGCTCAGCCCATCTGCACTTCTGTTTTAATTGTCTGGCCTTGCTAGTAACAGGGGTTGGAGGTGGTTTAGGTGGCCATGGAAGTCTTTTCCAATCCTATGATTCTAATACAGGGCTAAATGAGCAAGGCTATCATATACCCACTTTTCTTAGCCAGATTCCAGGTGGGTTTTTTGTGATTCTGTCTCTCTAGAACATAAATGTGCTGGGATCCTAAATGAGAGAAAAGGAGATGTGAGGTCTCTGAAATGTAGTGTTGTTAGGAAGGAAAAGCTTTGGGTCATATGATTCTCCTGGTAACTCATTACACATAATGTAGGAACACATCAGCCCATGAGTATCTAATCAACAAGATTAATGCCCTATCTAGGATCCAGTAATACCAGCTGCTTGCAAAATCCTGTTGGAGAAAAGTAGGACAGGGCAAAAAGGCCATGAAGGAAGACTAAAATATCTATCTGTCTGTAGTGTCTAGTATTTAAAAATGATCACAGGTTTGGCCAGTAATAGTACATCCAGACTCTTGGAACAGACATGGCAACTACAGTGCAATGGGGTTGGGCTGAAACCCATTCATTATTTGCAAATATGATTTAAAGAAACCGAACAAGCCCTTAAAAGGTAATACTTGAACCTTGCAAGTGGTGGCTCCGCACTGCGTCTGTCTGTTGTTAGTACATCTGGTTCCTGCGCTGTACAGTTGGCCTTTCTGCTATCCCCTTGTGCCATCCTGTTTTGGGACTTGATTGACTGAGGACAGCGCTGTGGCCGATGGAGGTCTGATTGCTAAAAAACCCGTAACTTGTTTAGTTCAGTATTGTGAGAGGGAAAGAGAGTGGAAAAAGCAGTGTTTGAAATCCACATTTCTCCCCCCATGAGTTTTGTCTGGGAAGGCAAACTGAGAAAAGAGAGTTTTGATTAAAGATCCATTTTAGTTGGGTCTTTGATTAATGCTGGCTTGTGGGGAAAAAAAAAGAAACATCTGCTTTGGCGCAGCTGCCATTTGAATCTTTACAGTTGTACTCTCAGCCCCTTATTTGGTTACTATCTGGCCTTGTCAGAGACCAAGGGACATCCCAGAGAAACGTGTTACCTAAATATAAGACTAAAGCCCAGAGGCTTGGAGTTTCAATTCCAACCCCTGATTGTGTGTTTCTGGAAATCATCCATCATCCCATCCTCATCTTTAAAACGGGGATGACTGCTTTCCTCCTTGATATGTTATGCATTTTGTTCTCTCCAAGGTGCCTTGAAGTACTAAGTACCTAAAATTATTTGTAAGGGGGAAAGAGGCAGTAGAAGTGTTATAAACAGCACTACTAGACCCTCTGTTCCCTTTGTAGGTACCTTTGTAGGTACGCTCATTTCCAGCGTGCTTTCTGAACCGAAAGGTAAAGAAAGTCTTTAAAAAGACAGGAACGTGGGGATAATCCATTCCATTGTCTGTAATGAGTACGAACTCATAGGCTGTTATCTATTGAACCATTTGGTGGAGGCCACAAGGGGAATCCATTACTAGGAGGAGTTCATCTTTCATCAGATGAGAAACCGTCAGCCTATCATCATCATTTGCAGACATACAGGGTCTGGTTTGTAGCTATGAGGAAGAGAGAGAGATCGATCTATATTAATGGCCAGAATTTTCACTCTTTCCCTTTTGCTGTTCACAGGTTGGGGTTTCAGTATGGGAACCAAGTACCAATTCCACAGCTGGAGGGTTTTTGTACTGGTCTGTGTTCTGCCTTGTATCGCTTCACTGATAGCATTAAAATTCATGCCCGAAAGCCCACGTTTTTTGCTGGAGGTAAGATGACTCAACTGCAGTTGGATTTTTAACAGAGGGCACCTAGTCCCTCCTGACACATGAGGGGCCACTGTGAGTAATGTGTGCTGCTCATGTACCCACCACACACACTCACATAAATGCACACGAACTCAGAGACAGAGACGTACTTGGCTTCACAGTCTCATTTCTGGCCCTCTGTGCCATGTTGCTACTCACATTCTTCTAGCATATCACACTTGAATGCTAACATCCACAGTGAACAATAAAAAGAATGAACAGACATGGGATTTTTAAATCCGTCAAAGGCTTTGTGGATAAGATCCAAACACAACATGCATTTTGGGAATGTAAACAGTGGATCTGGTTGGAAAAGTGAAAGGCAAGAAACATGATTAGGATAAAATACATGGGGACTGGATTTCAGTGCATGCACAGACAAGGGTACAGCATGTAGCTGGTTTACTGCACGTGGTGGTATCATTCATCTCAAGCTCTCAAAGAAGTTTACATACACAGATGAACTCTTAGAACCCCACCAAGGCAAGAATAATTTATCCCTATTTTATAGATGGAGCAACTGAGGCACACCACTTTACCCCAGGGTATATGGAGACCATAACAGTTGGTAGCTAACTGGGCATATGTCTTCCCGTCATGTTCCCAGACAGGTAAACATGATGAAGCCTGGATGATTCTCAAGCAAGTTCACGACACCAACATGCGAGCCAAGGGGGAGCCGGAGAGAGTGTTCACAGTGAGTGTGGTTTCCCTGGGGAAGGGGATGATTTCTACTCCTTGTTAGTGGGGACATTGACATACGGAGCTTCTTATACTCCGTTATTTGCCTTCAGGGATGATGGCCCCTTAATGAATTCTACCCAGGGGGATCTCCAGTGTCCCATTTATTATTTGACCTGCAGGGTGTCAGACGGGAGAAGGTGAGAATATGAGAGTGGCACTTAGTAAGTCACATGCCAACCCCTTTCTGCAGCAGTTCTTCAGCCGTAAAAGCTGTTAGTGAGCGCTGTACATTCATAGGGACAAAACACAGTGTAGACCCCACTGGTTTTCTGGCTGCACGCACATGCCTAATTGTTCTGCCGTCAGAAAAAAACAAACAGGAGAGACTAGTTGTGGGAAATGCCGATGACTCCTTTCCCTGTTCCGGCTTCTAATCAAACTGTGATTAAACTCCATGTACTTCCTCATGAGCTTCCAAAACTCCATCTGCTTCATATCCAGCTTTTAAGCTCTCTGAGGGAAAGTAAGGTGAATGATTATTATGCATTGGACCTATGCTCTGTGTGAAAAAGGTCGAAACGTGGACCCAGTCTAATTTAGCAAGCAGACAGATGGTGTGTGGTGGGGTTAATTGTACATTACAGTAATTTGGTTGTAAGTGGTCAGTGAACTAGCCAGGAAACAGCCTGTGATTTCAGGTGATACGTATGAGAAGGCACATGCGTTTCACAGGAGGATGGCGAGAAGAAAAGGAGGCACGTTTGGATGCAAAGCGCAGCTGATCGGTGCAAACAAGGCAGGCCTCCCTGCTTAGACAAGTCACTGAGAAAGGGTGTCTGTAACTAATGAGCCCCTCAGTAATTAATTCACTGCACCTTCAAATGTGTTCAGGCTCCAGGTTCAGACAAGAGGCTTAATGACCCTGTGCTATTTCCTGGGCACAGGCTATTTGACGGATGAAAACCCTCCTGAAAAAGAACGAAGATAAAGCAACCTGCTCTAAAATCATTAACTAGCTTTCCTGGAACACTGGCATGGCCTGACGGGTTATCTGCAGGGGTGCCTCACATGCAGGACTGCTTTCTCCTCTGCTGCATGCCAGCCCCACCTGTCCACTTTATCGTGTGTAGTTAGCTCTCATGCACCGGGGTGTTCATATTATGATGTGAGACAGTCCTGCAGGGTTTCGGGCACTTTAGGGGTGTGTATTGTCTGTGCCTATCTGACACCACTCCTATGTTGAGGCACTGTGGGCTTGTTCCAGCATTTGATGATCTGAAGTCTTCTGCTCCTAGGCTCTTAATGAGCAGTTGATTGCTACTGCACTGATTAGTGCCCATCGTTCCAACTAGCGACGTTAGATTGGCTATATCTTGAAATGATCAAGTCTGGAGTTTGGCTAGTGAATCGAGACTTACTGACATTTACTGGCGCAGGCAGGCAGACAGGCTCCGGGAATGCGATGCAGTACGTTGGCATTTGTCATTTTCCGATTGGCCAGCAGGTGTCAGTCAGCCATAAAGTACTGAAGCAGCTGTTTCTGGGACATTTCCCAGGCCTGACATTTAATACAGAGCCTAGACTGCAGAATGGGGTGAATCATTCCTATTCAGTAACTTATACCATGAACATTCACCACCTTTTCTTATTTGCAAACACATCCTGGGTTTCTTGAACATGCCCTTTATTGAAAATTATTCACCACATACTTTCTGTGTGATGTATTCTTAGCTGTTGATGAGCTGTTTACAGTATTCAAAATTCAGTCTGCTGTGGCTGGACAAATTGGCCATAGGGCGTGCTTCATTCCTTGACTGCATGACTTTTTTGATGCAAATGTTCACATTTATGCATTTTGAATTCATGCTCCACCACTGTTCTGACACTGATGCTTCAAACTTGCTGTGTCAGGGAATGCTCCTGCCAGTAGCATCGGAGAAACGAGAACAAGAAGACACAGTTGAAGCAAATTTGTTTAAAAACATGATTGACTGTTCTTAGAGCTTTTCGCAGTAATTGCCAGCTCTGATCGCTCCTCAGTTTCTTAAAGACATCAAATTCACATACTGTGGTGCTGGCTAAACATGATGGGTATCAGATTTAGATTTTAATACCAACCTAATTAATGAAGATTCAAAGTTGACGTGATACATTTGAAATGTGTCAGAAAGAGGGAGAAAGGAAGAGATAAATTTATAGCTTATGAGAAAATCATTCAATTCAGCATTTAATGGAAACCTGTTGAAACAAAACACTAGGACGGGACATTCAGTAGCCAACATTGGAGAAAGTGTTGTGCAGAAGGTAAGATGACAAGTCCATTCAGGGTCGGTGGTTTAACTGTTGGCTGGTTTCTTTCTTTTTATTCCAAGGTTGCCCACATCAAAACTCCAAAGCAAATAGATGAGTTTATTGAAATCCAAAGCTCCACAGGGACATGGTACCAGCGCTGGCTGGTCAGATTCACAACCACATTCAAACAGGTATGGAGCAGAAAGACCATCCTGCGAGAGCTTTTGCCCATTGGGCTTCGAGGCTTCGGTGCATTAGGTGTGTTGAGATCCTAATTCACATTCAAACCATCGCTTGTGTTCACTATGTAGGAGAAATGGGTCTGGGCTCGGGTAATATTTTCTATATGGATACACATACATGTCCACTCTGATTCTTTTTTACCACAAGCCACCAGTCAGTTCCTGAAAGGACTGGCTACATAAAGCAAGCCAGTTAAGCTATGCTAAAGGCACAGTGCTTGCATCAGATGACCCAAGCATTTGATTTCCCTTCTACTTGCGTGGAGATGTCCTACAGACAAAGCCTAATACAGAATCCGTATTCTGTTGAAAATGCTAACCACACAGGATAAATTATAATGCTGGATGCTTGCTCTTCTGCCAGCTGAGATCAAGTCTTCCGCCTTACAATATAAACTCTTCACTGCATATGGATTTGCTATTATACTGCCCATACCATGACTGCCCAAGAACTTCATAGCCATTCCTTTTAGACTTTCCTGCTTCAGAGGTACAAACTCTTGCCACATGAAGTAAATGAGAATCTCTCTCAATGGTTGGAAGACCAGGCTCTATGACACACAGAGCAGAGCTGCTCCAAATCCTTTCAGTGCATTATAGTGCTGTGCACACACACACAAACTCATTGTAGAAGTGAACTATCCTGGAGTGCAAGCCTGTATCAATGCTGTGCCCTCAATGTATGCAATCTGTTTTTATAAGCATAGCCCTAAGAACACTGGAATACAATAGCCCAGCCTCCCTTCCCCAAATAAACCCTCTTTCCTGTAACATTAAGTTCACAGCTTGATCAGAAAATAATCTTTTATGATCTCTGCAAAGATTTCCCTGACTCACTCTTTCTTATGCATTTGTAGGTCTGGGATAATGTGTTATGTTGCTTGACAACCCAATACAGGATGAACACCCTGATTCTGGCTGTGGTTTGGTTTACAATGGCCTTGAGGTAAGTTACTTCTCTAACTTTATCAGGGGCTTGGAGCCCTCTGAAGGCTTCTTGCTAAAGTCAAGGTGCATCTACAACAAACCATCATCTTAGATTAGGACAGAATTACCTGGCCAAGTGAATAAATTGTTATAAAAATTCAGTTTTGCATATCCATGTCTATTTGAAAAGACAGACCTTGTAAAAATAGGCCTTGCTCTGCTCAGCATCTATGATTTACTCTTTGATTAGACTACTCCTAAATTTTTTTACGGCAATACATGTTGAATAAGGCAATACTTGAGGACCTCTTCACATGCACATGGATTTGCACTGCATGGCTCAGTAATGCTATATAGAGCCTTTTAGCTCCAGGTCTTTGGTCTGAATCCTTCTCCTATCAGCAATGTCTAAAAGTAATTGCTAATGGCAGTTTTATTGGCATATGGAAACTGGGTGAGGACAGTCTCAGTGTATGTGAAGGTCAATGAATGCCCACAATGGAGACATTTTCTGGTGAGAGGGTTAGAAAAGGGTTTATATAGGGAAAAAAAACTTACGGGATGTTTTGTCCTTTTCTTTTTGGAGCATGCCCATGAATGGAGTGTGGGTTTTATGGTATGATTCAAATATGAGGGGGAAATATAAATGAATTCCTTAAACTCTGTGCCGTGCTGGTTAATTGAGATTTGTTACATGACACATATGGTATCATTTCTGTTCCTGTGTGTCATTTTTAGGTGTCTGATATAAATGCTTATGGAAAGTGACTTTAACATTCCCTTTTAATGAGCGTTGTGGTAGGGGGAGGGAGGGGATGAGAGGGCTGTGTTCGGCTTAACCCATTACTTTCCACCAGGATCTCTGCTAATGCAACCTGACTGCTTGTTTATAGAAAGTGAACCAAAAGAGGTATGGTTATGAGTTGTTAAGCCAATTTATACAGGATGTTTACAGCTATTTAGCTATGTCCAATAGGCATCACTAGTGCCCTCTCTACTGGCAGCCTCAGCAAATAATTTGAGGACAGAATAAGTTGTGAAGATTCAAAACCTGGTAGTTCCCTAAATCCTTCCAGGGTGGGGTCTGAAACACTTGCTTTGACTCTACTCAGGCCATTGCTCTTCTATGGACACTTAGAAGACTTTGCGTTCCAGATCTTTCCCCAGCTCTCAGCTCAAAATGGTGACTAAAAACCAAAATATGGAGCTTTCAAGCTGTGAACCATATGGTATGGAAGACATTGTGAAAATATCAGAGTATTTTTAGGACCCACGTCCCATATCCCAACATGTCCCTTTGCTTGTTGTGCTGCAGCTACTATGGCCTCATTGTCTGGTTCCCTGACATGATTCGATATTTCCAAGATGAGACGTACAAATCCAAAGTGAAACCCTTCACTAAGGACAAGATATCAAATGCCACCTTCAACTTCACACTGGAAAACCAGATCCATAGAAATATGGAATATATTAATGACAAGTAAGTAACTTTGACCTAGTTTCTTTTGCATCTGGAAGCATGAGACTGAGAGGAAGGATGGTCCATAGCTAGCTATTGGTGCTGACATGTCACTTAAGCTCTCTGTGCCTTGTTTTGTGCTCTCCAGCATGGGGGTAATAGTGCTACATTGCCTTACAGAGATGCTTTGAGGGTAAATACATCAAAACAGTGTTAGGGGGTAAAATACTTCAGAGGGAGGTAGATCCTACAGTTTTGCTTAGTTAATATGGGATTGGAGTGCTTAATTTAGGTTGCAGATTGCCCTGCTGTAGTTGTATAGGAAGAAGAATATGCAGGGATCTTCTCCCTACTTGTGCAGCCCATCGCCAGGACAGTATGTATAACCAGGGTGTAGATATAGGGGGGTCAGGAGGGCAGTTACTTTGTGTCACAGGCTAAGGGATGACTGAACATTGTCCCCACAGGACACCCAAACACCCTCCCATGATAGCTCACATGGTGTGGCAGGGTACACCCCTACAAGAGACCCCACAGGGGGTCACCTCAAGATTTCACCCAACCTCTAGAAAAATTTATCTGTGGCCATGAGGCGCAGGGAGGGGTGTAGAAGAGGTAGGTCTACAGCACTGCCCCCTTGCTATGCCAGCAGGCTCAGGACACCAAGTGCATCAGTACTGATGGCCTGAATCGCCATGCATGGGAATTATTGGCTGTGAGTCCTCATGTTTGCAGCCGTGACATTTGCTTCCCTTAAATATTTGTGCCAGTAAAACCTGTCCATGTGGCCCTCCGAGAAAGGCAAACAGCAAACCCCAGTAGTGCCACAAGACCCAGCCAATGTAAGGTCACAACCTTAACAGTTGAAAGGGAAACAGGATTTTTGTTGTCTTCACCTGGTGGTGACTCCCCCTGCCTCCGTAGAAGGACAAACTAATGGAGGCATCAAAACAGGTCTTGGGCAGGCCTCTGGCATGCATGATTTGCAAATCCCTGGGGTGCCACAGGGAGCTCTCTATAGGCTACATGCTCTCATTACCCAGGTTTGCCTACTTTCTTCCCATCCACCTTTACTAACAGGTCCAAAGCAAACTTGAGGGATCTCTTTCCTAGCTCATTTTCCCAGCAAACTTCTTCTGACCCCAAGAGTTCATTCATCTGGAACCAGTCTACCAGGAGTTGAGAGCAAGCCCATCTCTGCTGGGTTTCTCTGAATCCAGAGGTAGCTTTCTTTTATTTCCTTAGGACACACTGACATCTAGTGGTACTCAGCAAGGGACACTTTTTAAATATAGTTCCCTGAAAGCAAACATTTCTCTGGTGCATTAAAGCCATTATTTACCATGGGCTCTAGGTCGGTGAGGTAGCAGGCACCTTAGAGGTCCTGATTATGATATAGAAGTACCATGATACATTGGGAAAAGATACAAGATCAACTGGAGGAAGCTCAACAAGTGCCAGTGCAAAACCCAACATTTAGGATGGAACAATTGCATGTCCAAATATAAAATGGAGAAAAACTGAGTAGGCTGCAAGTCTACAGAAAAGGCCCTCAGGTTGTAGTGGAGCACAAGATGAAGATGAGTCAACAGTATAATATTGTTGCAAAAAAGTGAATAGCATCCTGGAGTCTGTTAATACAAGTATTGTGTGCAAGTCACAAGGAGTGATGATTCTTCCACTTGATTCAGCTCTGCTAAGGTGACAGCTGGAGTACTGTGTCCAGTTGGAGGTACTATATTTCAAAACAGACCTAAACAAATTGGAAGATGTCCCATGGAAAGCAACACAATTGTTGGAAATCTAAAACCATGCCAGATGAGGAAAGGTTGGAAAAACTAGGTTTATTTAGATGGAGGAAGAGAAGATTGCTGGAGGATTTGAAACCAGTCTTCAAATCCAAAAAGGAGTGTTATCAAGAGGATGGTGATCAACTGTCCTCGATATTCACAGGAGACAGGGCAAGAAGAAATGAGCTGAAATTGTAACTAGGGAAATTTTGGTTGGATACTAGGAAGAACTTCCTATCAATGAGTGTGGTTAAGTACTAGAACAGGCTATGGAGAGGGGTGGTGGACTCTCTGGCGTTGAAAAAAATTAAATGCAGGTTAGATAAACACTTGTCTGGGTTAATTTAGACAGGGATAAGTCTCTTCCTTGAGTGTGGCAGCAAATTATATGACCTCTTGAAGTCCCTTCCAGACCTATTTTTCCTATGATTCTATGGGTCTGAATCATCACAGTCTACATGAGCTCAGGTGTTAACTTCATGGATGTGTAATTCTCTCCTGTATCCAATCTGTCCATGATTTCTCCCTGGTTTCAGTGGGTGTGTGAAGGGCACTCAGCAGCTCACAGATCATAAACTCCCTTTGGCATAAGAGGGACTCTCAAATGTGTTGCCCAATACCCTCTTGGTTCTTTCCCAATGCAGTGACTCACTCAGAACCTGTTCAACCTGCATTTCATTATGGTCTGCATCACCTCTCAATATGATTTATAGTTCTGTTTTCCCTCCAGCCCTTGGCAGTGAGTTAGAACCCCATTGTATACCATGCAACTGCTTCATAACTCTTTGGAAGATGAATGTAAAGAAAGCAAACTGTAGGAGAGCTCTTTAAAAGGCTTTGAGAGTAAATACATCACAAGCTATTACCAAGCGAATGCAGATCAGTCTAAGTTGTACTGTAACCCATGAGACCTTCTTTTTGGAACAAAAGGCTTGATTAGCCTTTACGTAATTTTTCTGCGAAATAATAATGCCTGTCTGAGGCTTCTGTTGAGAGGCCTGTATCATTAATTTAATGAAATATAAACATCAAACTAGGTTCTGTTGCAAATGCTCAATTAAATTAAGATTCTGGATCTCTGTTAGAAGCCTTTTATTTGATGCTAACCCTGATCTCATTAGCTTGGGCAGTAATACTTGTATGCACACTGTTCTTTGCATTTTCAGCTAATCATCTTCACAATGTCCCTCTGAAATATGTAGTTGAATCAGTATTGTGTCACCTTTCTGTCAAGCAGAACACAGAAGTCAGGCTTCATATCAGAGGACTTTTCATGCCTGTCACTGCCTGAATAATACAGCTTGGCAGTCACATGTCTTGGAAGGAGACCCTTGTAAAGCGATAAAGCAGGCAGGGAACCTGAAGAGGAGGTGGAGACAAGCAGGTTCTCCCAGAAGAGGAGCCGTGGAAGGGACCTCGTTCCTCTGGGGATGGGAGAAGGACTGACTTCCAGGAATGGGAGGGTTGGACACCCCCAAGATACCAGCAGCGCAGTTTAGATGCATCCTCAGTCTCTCTGGGTTTGTGTGTTACAGGGTAGCACAGTGAG